CATTCATCGAATCAATCAAAGCACAAAAAATTGTGTTGGATGAATAAAATTAATACTTATACGTATGAATGTTACTATTTTTTACGGTCTGATTTCAATAAAATCTGATTTAACATATTCGAAAGTTTATAGATTGTGAAGTTCGTAAATAAAGATAGTCGAAATATGTACATTAATTTTTTAATTTTTTTATCAAACGAATATAGAACATTTGTAAGTGCGTAAAATTTTAGTTACTTATTACTGCACTTCGTAAGCCGCATACTGAATCAATGGATACAGACTGCACAGTACGTAATTTTTTTTTTTTAGATCACATAACTTTTCAACGGTTGTATTCCTCTAGTAAGCGTTCCAACCCTCTACAGTCCCATTGTTTCAAAAAAAAAACCCTCTCACTATAATAATTTCCGTCATTTCTCTTATACTTTTATTATTATTATTATTTTTTTTCCCCTTATTGTTGCGACGACTCTATTGTACATCCGGGTCGACGGGTTGCCCTCGTTTCATTTTCTTTACAATTCCTTTTTGTAGAAACGGCGGAGGAGAAAATATTCCTGGCTCTTATGGAGTATTATTGCGGGAAAAATCTGAACGACAGGTGGTGGAACACACAAATAATGTTCAAAAGAGAATGTAACAAAAAAGAAAAAAATTATAATAACACTAATGTCATGTAGATAATCAAAGAAACGACAGAAATCAGAACATGAAATTAATATAACATGCAAATCAGCATCCGAGCTCAAGGTACTCGGAAAAATTCAAGTTCAGATAGAACTAGAAAGAATTTATCACATTCGTATAAAACTTATTATTATTTTACGATCTAGCAAAAATATTTTAAATGACAAAAAATAACAATGGTAATATTAGAAACTATAACCATAAATATATAAATATAAGACAGAAGACTTAATTTAGCTTAAAAAAGTAGCATGTCAATAAAAACATTGTTATGTGGTATCATAACATTAAATTCAAATTATATTTATTTATATTAATAAAAGACATGTCATATAAATGGTATGTATACCTATCAATTAAATTTGAAGTATCTTGTAATTAAATTTAAATCAATAAGTGTAGTATATTTAACTACAAATATATAAATATAAATCTTTCAAACAATTAATATCTACATATTGATTTATTTTAAATTAGATATGTAGCAATCGGAACTGAACTAATTTCATGAAAAAAGAAGATGTCTATAAATAAAATATAAATATATCAATTAAGTATATATTTATAAATAAATAAATCGTACTTTGAARGATTTAATGAAAAAATTATATTCTTATCATAAAAACTTAACATTTAAATGCATAAAAAAATATCATTGTTGTGTTATTGTAGGTAAATAAGGCAAAACTAGTACGAGGCGGTAATGTACCTAAATTGCCTATAAAAAACGCCGTGTTATCAAAATCTAAAAAGTTTAAATGGCGTCAGGCGCTGGATCGATTGTCATGGTAATAAAATATTTAGTACTACCTATAGGGTTCAGAAAGTCTGAACTAACTAAATAACACAAATTATATAGTTAAATATTATTAAGGAGATAAGGACATATTTTATTCATTTAACATATTATATTGTATATACCCAAAATAATAATGTGGAATCAAATTTTTTTATCCTTATAAAACTTTCATTATGATATACCTACGAATTCTCCATGTCTTTAGTATTATGTTACGGATCATTTGAGTGTTTTATTCTGCGTGTCAATGAGCAACCCACAACAAAGTTCTCTTAGTAATGAACGTTTTAATCCATAACACTAAACGTTTTACTAATTAAAATTTTTAATTATTGTTTTTATTATTATTATTATTATTATTATTATTATTATTATTATTATTATAAGGTCTTCCTGTTAATTGTAATTACAACCCAAACATTTTGATAGAAAAAATAAATACAAAATTTAACGATTAATAGAATAAAGATTGCTAAATAATACATTTGAAATAGTATATAAAATTACAAGGAAAATATAAAAAAAAATAAATAGTTTCGTCAGATTTAGTGGGATGAGTCAACACATATTTTTTATTGTATCATATTATGATAATGTTCAAACGTTTAAATTATTCAATAATGAAAAATTTAAACAACATTTTGCTTAAATTCAGGTTTCAAACACATCTTTCAAAGATTTTATAATTTGTTAGGTCACTGCTGCTACAATTATAATTCAAGTAGACGCTAAGTAATATAAACATTGAGAGAGGATAAAATAATAGCAGCAGTATTCTGTCAGTTTAGATAATGTCCTATAATACATCCTCTGGGAAAATGAATACTAATCAGACGGTGACATAACACAGATGCGTGTAGTTAGCATAATTCAGTTTAGTTCCTAGAACATAACTCAAATATTACACATATATAAGTAAAAACATAATAATAATCTAATTGGGATGATTATGAAATTTTATAATTATATTTTTAAATTCAAAACAATTATATCAATTACGTATTATTGAAGAAGAAAAACAATATTATCTATTTACACTATATTCCATGTMTGTAAAGTGTAGGCATGTTTGATGTACACTATATATTAAAAATATTAAATAGGTACATACTATTATTTTAATATGGAAAATGGAAATGGATCGATTGTTATGATAATATTATTATTTATGAAAAAAAAGATCAATTGTCACTTGAATAACGTTTAAAGTACCTACTTAATGAAAAATTAAACAATCAAAATAATTGATATGTTTTATTGAATGCAATTGACGATAAAGAAGTATGTTCTATATTTTACGAGTGACTGAAGCTATCAGCATTAAAGAAATGTAAATAATAATAAGTTAAATTTTTATAAATAATTGATTATGTCAATTAAAAATCTTATATCTATGTAATCTTAAAATTAGCATACATGTAATAGCACCATGYGTGCTGAAACATTTTAAGATTGTAATAGAAAAAAAAAATTAAGCGAAAACAATTGTGTAGCCCAATATCTACAACTCAGTGTAGATAATACTACTGAATACTACTGTGCRGAGTAGTTATCTCACGGATAGGTGACCATACGGGAATTTTAAAAACAAAATTCTCGTCACACATACAACACGTGTTTCAATTTACAAACCAACCGTCCCCCTACAAACGGTTAACGGTCATGGTTGCAGTGATTATAATARATAAAATCAATAAAAAAACGATTTTTTTTTTTAAATTAAATTCTTAATGTGAAAAATATATACGGAAGCACGATAAAAGCTAGTCACGAACACCATAAGAAAGAGGAAGAAAAATTAATTTAATTTTCTTCTAAGCCTAACTTATTTCAAATTTCAATCAATTTTTACTGAATACTATTATTTCATTCCAAGTGCTCATTTTTTTTTTCTTGACATTACCTTACTGATATATAAATCCAAGCATTAAACTTGTTTGCTGTTAAAAAAGTGTCTCATAAAGACATAAAAAACGGTGGCCTAACCGTTTTGCGAAATGAGGTTTTTCAAACAATTTACCATATCTATAAAGATATTTCGTATATATAGGTACCAACTAGGTTTACGTATAAGTACTCGTATATACTTGCACGTATGTATAATATTATAACATAATAAGACCTTGTAGACATGATTTCGTTATTGTTAGAAAAATAAAATCAATTGAAATTTTGTATTTTTACATATAATAAATTATGCAACAAGGTTAAAAATGWGTGTGATCGATACAATTCAAAGTGGCGAAGCGTTGAAAAACAACATACAGTAGACGATTAAACGTCRAAAACGACGGCATCAACCATTATTCAAATCATTCTAGGAAACATTAAATTTAACGTTTATTGTTCCAGAACTAATAGACGTTTAGACAGGTTATTAATTACTAGCAGCTGGCATTGTACATTGCTGGCGAACACGGTAAAGGTGTACGGGAAAAACGCACACGGAACGCGAAAAGGGTGCGCGCGCGGCGTGCAGGGTATGCCACATAGAAAGGGACCATAACAGCTAGGACGAAGTTCCGTTTGGGGATTCGATCGTGACGCGTTTACACTGGTCTATCTATATGTGTGTGCGCACGTGTGTGTGTGTGTGTGTGTGTGTGTGTGTGTGTGTGTGTGTGTGTGTGTGTGTGTGTGTGTGAAGCACTATTGTGCTAAATCCCCCCGCCCGTAGCCCGTCCTTATTGGCGGTTTCGACGAGCCGTTATTAATGTCAACCATGCGCGGGTGTTAGAGAATTCAGGGACGGACAGGTGAAGGGGAATTTAACCAACCACCTTTGGACCCAATTTCGTTATAGGTTCTACATTACCACCCCGTGTCTTTCCTGTTGGCATTATTGGATTTTCGCCAATATCGAATACACACTCACACACACACACACACACACTCGGATAGATAGATAGATAAATGAAAGGATGGATGGATAGGTCATTGATAGAAAATTGCGTGTGCACTGAATGAATGAAAAAAAAAGACTAAAATAAATAGAATACGATATATGCTATGTGAAGTATATATTCCATTAGAGTTGTGTATTATATAATGGTTTCACCACGTTGAGCGCATTATACAATCATAAAATTGTTGTATTTATGACGAAAAAATAGTGCCGTGAAAAACCACGTTTCAAATAGACTGATAGTATAATCAATATAGGTACACTTCGGTTTCGTTTACCATTATATTACAAAATATATTTCTCACGAGTTACAAAAGAGACGAATCGATAGCGAAACAATATAATATTTTGCCCGTGATGAACACAAAGGAGTAAATATCACAATGGAAGATGTGTAGAAACACGGTCGCTTAAATAGGAGGGTATGCGTATAAACATAAGAGTAGGTATAACGCTTTAAAATCATTCGCTGATGATTTTTGAATAGAATTTTAATATTCCATATTACTACAACAGTACATTATTGTTCATGTGACATCATTATGCGCAGTGACCTTATGCCATACCAAAACACTAATTATAAATAATACAATCGGAAAGGCTTACCTTTCACGTGTTCAGGATTTTCCGTACCAGAACGCATAATATCATTTAAATAGTGTTCAAGGTTACGCATGTTGTCCAAAGGTCCAGTACCGTTTCCGCATCGTTCCTGAAACACGTCAAATAATACAAAAGATTAAAACATTATAGCACGTGCACGAATAATAAATTGTATTATATTTAGAGTTCAGTTGTTACTTTGCCTAAAATATAAACAAATTTATGATACAAACAATATTGAACATTTTGTATATTTGAAAAAAATAGGGGTACAACTATACAATTCTATAAATTATATATTTTAAGAATAAAAAATACATGAACTAAGCTTATTTCTTACATAAATAAATGAATAAATGATGTTTATAAGTTTGAAAGAGAAAAACAAAAATAGTTCTATACATATTATTATGTAGAATACGAACACCAGAATAGCTAATTAATTCATGAAAATTTCAATTTTGTATTGAAATGCAAAGGTTACTTTATACCTGAATAATTAAACTTATAATGATAAATAATAATGAATATTTTAATTTTGAATAACTCTTTAATAGTAAATTGTTAATTAAATTTCCATTCAAACACGAATGCCATTTTAAAGTGATTCTATTGTACCTACATAATTTATATTAAATTTAGGTATTTTGTTCTAAGTTTTAAAATACCGTTATAATTTAATTTGATGCATAAAATAAAAATATTCTAATTAATTATAATATGTATTGACAGTATAGATTTTAGAATTTATGTAATTTTATTTTATTTTTTATTTGTTGATTAATAACATAGGTAACAATAATATACCTAACTGTTAGAATAAAAGAAAATTCATTAAGTTTAAAGGCTTTTAACGATGTAGGTTATAGGACAACATGAAAAATAAATAATTATTAGAAAAATGAATAAAAGTATATCAAATTACTCAGTTCGTTAACAATAAAAATGTAATGCATAATATATAGAATATTTTTGGATTGACTAATTATAGATAATAACTAATAAGTCAGTCTGTTTCTAATGCATGCAGTATCTACCTATCTCTCTAACACCTCATTAAAATCCAACAACATTTTGAGAAACATATTAAATAAACACCTGAAAATATTTACTGATAAATAATTATTGTAAAAACAAATTCACGTTGGTCTAAATAAATAATTTATGATCTTTGTTCTAGGTARTGATTCATTCACAGTTAGATCAATTATTCAAGTAGAAAAAGAAAGATAATTCACATAAAGTGAAATTTAAAAATGTATAATACGTTATGGCAGTAGAGAGTGATTTGGTACAAAAAATATTGGTTAAGAAATAAGACCGCGCGAAACTAAATTTTCAATTTGACTTCATAAATATATATATATCTTTATCCTTATAGGTAATTTTTATTTTCTCCAATAATCAGAAGAAAAATTTGGACCATTTCTGCATATTAATTCATCAATTATTATATTTAAATGAAAATAAATAAATAATAATAGTAATAATAATACTGACTTAAAATATAATTATCTGTTATAAATATTAAAAATAAACATTGTGTATATATCACATAAYATGTTCCAGTTTGATCATAATTCATAGAGAATAAAATTTAATCAAATATGATAGGCATAATAATATTAGTAGTACATGTTCGACCTCCGTTCAGAGCACTCGTGTGTTACGTATTTATTAGCCACCGATAGCAGTATTTATTACATCAACGTTCTTCGGGCAGGTATGTAACTCCTTATCTTTATCGGACCTCACTTGTTAGTTAATTAAGCCGCTGTCGGATCACCGCAGTGCAAAAACTGATAATATGCTACTTTATCAGTCACAGATACCCACAAACAAACACAATCTACATCTCAATTAAAAACTTATCTACCTAAATCCATCGCAGAAACCACAGCCAATACCACTTTTCCAAAAAAAGAACAAGCTATTGTTCTAAACACTATTAACGACATAGCCTAAATCGAATATATAAAAGCTCTCGGTAAAATCACTACAACCAAGAACATTACATTTGCTTCTCGCATATCCAACAACCGTTTTTGTGTTTATTTTTCAGATAAACACTTCGTCAACGAACTTATTAAAAACTATTAATTTATACCAATAAACGAACATCAAATTCCTTTTTCCCCGGTTGGTCAATCCTGTCAAAAGATTTATTATCTCTATTGCACATCCTTCACAAAATAATCATCGAACCTCTATTATTAGAAGGTATCAAAACTATAAGTCAGATAACAATTTTCAAAGCCGGTTTTCATGACGACCTGGCACATACCAGTAGCTTTCGTCGCCAAGTATATATACACCCCGATGATACTGCTAATGCACTCGGTTCAATAGTCATTAAATACGACAAMACAGAATTGTTTTAACAGATGATACAATGACAWGTTATGCATGTCACCAAACCGGGCATACATCCTCTTAAAAAATTAAAAACAATAACCAAGATAACACTAGTAGTATACAAACCCCAACACGTGAGAAGGATAGTGAGAAAGTAAATGACACCCAAGACAACTATACCAACCCTAATAGCACTCATAAGACAAACTTAATCAATGATAAAGTAAACGACATCCAGGACTCAAATACCAACCTAATAAAACCACTCAAGCGTAACAATGTAGTATGTATCCCAAAATGAACCAATCAAAAGACCTCCCCCATCGCTAACTAGCTCTTCTTCACCATCAGTCACGCCACACCATATCGAACAASAGATTAATGACAATCCCGAACAGCTGAAAACTATTAGAGATAAACTTTTAGATTCAAACAAAACATAAGGCAAATCACTTGACCCATCCAAAAAAAATAAAAAAGCAGCTCACTCGAAGATATACACACAAAACTTAATGAAAGACTCAAACCTACCAAAATTTTTTTTCAAACAATATAGAAAATCCTATATCTAACTCTCATTACATATATATAATTGAGAAATTCAATAATAGAGTCATCAATATCCAYTCTCCATGTGAGAAAATTAATGTTGACATCCACACACTCCATAAAATTACCGAACAAGTTAAATCATTGATAAATGATCGATCTACAAAAACCAAGCTCACCAAACTTCTAAGCCTTTTATTCCAATTTCTTCCACTTMAATAATCTATCACCAAGCAACTCTTCAAAATATTCACACAAAACATCATTATGAACAATCAAACCAAAATCACAAAACTATATAACCTCCTTTTGGCTTTTACAAAACTTTCCCCAGTCAGAAAATTAACTATCCGCATTCTGGATCTCGCCTTCGATAATAAACTTTCTTGGAGACCTCATCAGAAAAAAACTTAAAACTGAATCTCAAACAGGGCTAAAGAATATTAAAAATACTCGGAAACAGCACCCGGGGATCTGACACAAAGAGCCTTATCACAATTTATAAAGCTTTTTTACTCTCATCAATTGCTTATGGAGACATCATATACAATTCAGCAAAAAAAAAAAGACCTTAATACTCTGGATCATATCCACAACCATTGCATTCACCTGGCCATTAAAGCCTTTAAGACAAGTCCTGTAGAAAGTTTACTCTTTTACAMAGGAGAACCCCCCTTCCCCCACACACTATAGGCACCTTAGTCACACTCTAAAATATGTGACTAAAATTAAAAATCTGACTGACCACATAACCAAAAATATCGYCCACAGCCCTCTACCACCAATATACTGTCCTTCCGAAGCACAATGCTCAAAAGCTTCAAAATAATCAGTGATAACTTAGATTTCCAATCACAATCTCTAAACAAAATTCAACCTACTCTTCCTCCATGGCTCTGGTCACCAAAAATCAATACCCAATTCACCAAATACTGCAAACACAACATAGATAATCGAATCATATTAAACTATTTTGCAGAAATAATGTCACAACAATTTCCAGATTATATATAAATATGTACAGATGCYTYCAAAAGTAAAAATGGAGTGGGCTTTTCTGTAATCACAAATTGGGAAAACTATCTTTTTAAACTACCGTCGTCCTTTGGTATATACACAGATTAAACTCATGCTATTTACCAAACACTATCAATCATATCATCTTTAAACTCAACAAACTGCCACATAATCATCAGTGACTCCTTGAGTGCCCTCACTACAATCTTTAACCCTATCCAAAAAACGAACTTATCCAACACATTCAGATAATAGTATCTGAAATAAACACCTCCACATGTATATGTAGGTACCCTCCCATATTGGGGGATACCCGGAAACAAAAATGCAGACACATAATCAGCCCTCGAAGCCATTAAATCTTTATAATCCATCCAAATCAACTCTTCTTCCTCATTCGAAATCTTTGACATAATCCATCGGAAAATAATGGAAGGATGGCAATTTTTTTGGGAAAATATTTCTTTCACTAACAATCTGAGAAATACAAAATTATTCGTTAAGAAATTAATCTACCCTCCCGGCACAAGAAGAAGAGAAGAAGTAACCGTCACTCGAGCCAAAATAGGTYATTCCCGCTTAACCCATTTACATCTAATTAAAAAAGAACCAGCACCAATATGTTACACTTACAACACAACATTAACAATTGAGCACATTGTCATCACCTGCCCCAAATGCACTAAAGCACGCAAGATACTTCAAAATCCTGTTTCTCTCCACCAAACCTTCAAAGATGAGAACACAGCTGCAATCGGTACATTTTTTCATATTACAAACACTAAATATCCATTGTAAATAATAATAATGCTATAAAATTCATACTAAATTGTAATGTATACATATATTATTTTACTTGCTTAACATTTGATTAAAGTAGGCTAAAA